AAGGGCTAAGGACGTAGCCTACAAACCTAGGATCAAGGCAGCAGCCAGTGGTAACCAGTCCGAAAAAGGAGGTACAGCAAGTGTCTGCACATTCTGCAAAATACCAGGTCACGAGAGGGACAAGTGTTTCAAGTTGCAGCGTCGTAAGGAACAAACGACACAGCAGGCACCCTCCGCACCAGCATCTTCATCATCAGCGACTGTTCCGGTAGCAACGGTGACAGCCGACGAATCAGCCGATGACGACGACGCACTGATAGCGCACGTTCAGGCTAGTGGCAAGAACATTTTTATTCAAAACTTGGCTTTAAAGGTTAGTTCGATAAATAATACGGTTTGTAACCTACGAACATTAGTAGATACCGGAAGTCCGATATCATTTATAAAACATTCATTGGTTAAAAAGTTTTTTTATAATACTAGAATCTCGAATAGCACACCTAAAGTCACCTATCGAGCATTAAACGGTGAGCCAGTATTAATACTCGGTGTCGTTCGCACGGAAATTATGCTTGAGCAACTTAACGTAAATCTCAGCATATCATTAAACATTATAGACAACGATAGTTTTGTTACCGATATAATCATAGGACGAGATTTTCTCGATGCGCATAAAATCACAGCGGTTTACGTTCCGCCGAAAGTCACAAACGACTCGCGCATTAATTCGTTCCCCGAAGTACTGTTAAACGTTTTAGCATGCGCCGAAGATAGCAGCGTATCAAATCGCTTCGAAGGAATCGAAACCGACTTCGGTTCGCAGAGCACGCGAGCTCTGAAAAAATTACTGCTCGAAATTGACGCAGAAGAGACAGAGAAAGTTGATGATAAATTGACTATAAGTTGACTATAAAGTTAAAGTTCGCCTCAAAGACGAATCTATTTTTGCATATGCTCCACGTCGCTTTGCACACGGAGAAAAAGAACAAATTCAAGAAATTACTAAAGATCTTCTAGAGCGTAATATAATTTCGAGAAGTAGCTCCCCGTATTGCGCCCGCGTAGTACCGGTGAGAAAAAAAGACGGACGTCTTCGATTATGTGTTGATTTAAGACCGCTAAATCAACGAGTCGAAAAACAGAAATATCCTTTCCCAATTATAGAGGACTGTATTGCTCTCCTCGGGAACAAAGAAGTCTTTACTCTCCTCGATCTTAAAGACGGTTTCCACCAAATAAAGGTCGACGAAAGTAGCACCAAATATTTTGCTTTCGCAACGCACGAAGGACAATTTGAATACAAACGGTTACCCTTCGGTTTTTGTGAGTCGCCAGCAGAATTCCAAAAGCGACTAGTACACATTCTGTTACCGTTTATACATGACAACAAGGTCATTGTATATATCGACGATATCATGATCGCGACAAATAATATTGATGAAAATCTAATTATACTCAGCGAGGTCATGCGAACATTAAAACGTTATGGCTTCGAAATCAATCTCTCAAAATGTAAATTCCTACAGAGTCGAATTGAATTTCTAGGATATATAATTTCGAAAAATCAAATCACGATTAGCTCTAAGCATACCGACGCTATTAGAAAATTTCCTATACCGCAAAACGTACATGAAGTACAGCGTTTTCTCGGGTTAACTAACTTTTTCAGAAAATTCATCAGAGATTTCTCTACGAAATCCGCACCAATCAGAAATTTGCTTCGCAAAACAGTTAAATTCGATTTCGATAATAAATGTATACAAGCTTTCGATACGCTCAAAGCCGAATTAACGTCACAGCCAGTGCTGGCACTATACAATTCAGCAGCTGAGACACAATTGCACACAGATGCAAGCGCCATAGGTTTAGGCGGTATACTGTTACAGAAACAGACGAATGGTGATTGGAAGGCAATCGCGTATTATAGTCAGTCTACCAATCAGGCAGAAAGAAATTATCATAGTTTCGAATTAGAAATGTTAGCGATAGTAAAAGCAATCGAGCGTTTCCATATATATCTGTACGGAATTAAATTCACAGTAGTGACAGACTGTAACGCATTAGTCTATGCCGTTAACAAGGCAAACCTTAATCCGCGAATTGCACGTTGGACGCTCGCGTTACAAAATTATAGTTTTACAGTTACACATAAATCCGGCGGTCAAATGACGCATGTAGACGCGCTTAGCAGAATCGCGTTATACGTCGATACTTTAACCCTCGAGAGACAACTCGAATACAAACAATTAAATGACACACATTTAAAGAATATTATTCATGAATTAGAATTTCGCGACGATGATAAATTTATTTTAATTGATGGTTTACTCTACCGTAAAGGAGATAAACGTAATCTGTTCGTGGTACCAGAAGTCATGACGACAAATGTAATACGAGCGCACCATGACGAGATGGCTCATTGTGGTTATGATAAGACGTTACACGGATTATCGCGTACTTATTGGTTCCCGTCAATGCGAAAGAAAATTGCAGATCACATAGATAATTGTATAGTATGTCTGACATCGAATTTCTCTTCACATTCGCGTGAAGGCGAGATGCATTTAGCGCCGTCTTCAACTGCTCCATTTGAAACGTTACATTTAGACCATTTCGGTCCGTTACAGCCAACCAGTGGAAATTATCGTCACATTCTAGTGATAGTAGATGCATATACACGCTTCACGTGGCTCGTAGCAGTTAAAACTACCAAATCAAAGGAGGTCAATCGTCACCTCAAACTTTTGTTCGATACTTTCGGAAATCCAAAGACACTAGTTTCCGATCGCGGATCAGCTTTTACTTCAAATGAATTTCAACATTTTGTACAGTCGATGGGAATAACACATCGATTAGTGGCTGTAGCTTCACCATGGTCAAATGGAATAGTAGAGAGAGTCAATCGTTTTATTAAAACTTCTCTCAGAAAAATTGTCGAATCTCCAGACGACTGGAAAAAGTGCATACCAAGAACGCAATACATAATTAACAATACATGGCATAAAGGCATTAACAATACGCCATCAAAATTACTCTTTGGTTACGACCAACGGAATCACATAGATGCACCTCTTTCAGAATTCGTCAACGAATTAGCAAGGATAGATACAGATCTTGAGTTAGAAAGAAGTAAGGATCGAAATTTAGCTATCGAAACTAATGAAAAACTAAAACAATATAATAAACAGTACTTTGATAAACGGCATGTCACACCTACCGTTTACAAATTAAAAGATCTAGTGATGATCAGAAACTTACATGCTAAAGTAGGACAAAATTCTAAATTCGACCCTCCTTATAAAGGGCCGTATCAGATAGCTAAAATACTGGATTTCGATCGATACTTGATTCAAGATGTACCAGGATTTAACCTGTCGGCAAAACCTTATACAGCGGTACTGTCGACCGACAAGTTGAAACCTTGGATACGCCCAGTATGCGAAACTGGCAGTTAGAGATAAAACTTAAAAAATAAGTAATTGTATTTCATAATTGAATAATGGTCTGAATTTTTATATTACATGTGTATACTTCTACGTCGTGCAATGATTGAATTGCAAATTAAATTTTT